GAGCAGGCTTACCGCCACTGGACAGGTAACTGGCCAGGCCCTGGTAGTCCATAAACATTTTACCAGGGTTGCCAGGGTCAGGGACTGTGTACTGAGCAGCCATGTCAGCACAGACAACCCAGAACCTGAATACAGAGGAGAGGAAATATGCAGCAAATGCAAGCGTATTCATGATCTCCCATTGAAGCTGCTACCAAGTATGTTGCAAATACCCACCCAAAGAGAGTGACTCTGCCTCTGGAGGAGGCCACCATGGAGCCATCATCGCCAACCGTGTACTCAGCAGAGATGTTGTCCTGCAGGAACAAACCCTCAGGATCTTTCTTCTGCAGAGCATACCACTTCCCTGCGTACTGTTGTAGGGAAGAAAGGGCAAAGATGAGCTTTATTTTGATTGGCATGTCTATAGTACACTATAAGTAGCACATAGTTCATAAGTTCATATGTGTGATTGTATGCCGATGATGTTCTGGTTTATACATGAGCCACATTGATCATTTTGTTCCTGTTTTGGTTATTTTTTAGCTACTTATTATACACCAGTGTTACTATAAATACAGTCAAGCTAATTCAGATGACAGAAAGTTCAAAAATACACAGAAAAAGTCTTTGAATATAGTTCAATGTTTGATCTTGTAATGAAAGGGTTAAGAAGTATCCTTAAAAGATACATTTGCGTACTCACTCTTTTGGGGTCAAAGTCCTGTTTGACTGTGAAGCTGTCCACCACACAGGAGGCCAGGCTGTGCTCCACACAGGCCAGGAGCATCATCACCAGAGCAAAGATTTGAAAATTCATCCTAAACCCAAATTAACACCGTATTATGATTTGTTTATATAAAGGTGTAAAGTCAGCATTCCTAAATCATTTTGACACTCTTGTAAAATCCTCATAAATGGTTTAAGAATAAGAAAATTTGAGCAAGTCCCTTAAAAGCAGCATCTCCTTACCTGAAGTAGAGAATGAAGAAGCCACAAGACGTTTTCAGTGCAGAGTTGTTGCAGTGAACTGTGGCGAGAAGACGCCGTGTGAGCCTTTTATACCTGACGCACAGACAGGCTCGCTGCTTATTTTCAGATTTTAAATCTACGGCTTATCCAGTTAACAAAATCCGCCGGCGTAAGCTGATGAACCCCCAGATTCAGCAGGCTTTATGTAATTCAGTGAAGGGCTACATAATGGAATACAAGATAACAGATGCCCGGCAGGATAAGGCTGGCTGAGCCGAGGGTCACGTATGCACAGCAAAGGTGTTTACATGAGCAGGCAAATGTATTTTTAGGATACTGAGGATACATGAAAATGGATAAAGTGTACAGATTTATCCAGTCTGAGAACGATGCAGGGTTCAAGAGAGATTCTGTCTTTCTACTGCATCTGTGTGTTTCCTTTAAGTGTGTTCAAAATATTCCCAAAACCCTGAACACGGACAGCATTAATGCTTTCTGTTATCATTATTAATATTAATTTAACACAATAAAACAAATCACTGCACTAATTAACTTAGTGTTTTGTTCTGCCAAGTCTATTTTTAGATCAAGCATTACTGCTCCGTCTCTTTAGCCATTTTTCTGTTTTATTCAGGATGTTTTAACCTAAAATTATGTATTTTGTGAGTTCTTAAACGTTAACAACCAATGGAAAGAAATCAAAAATCTATTTTCCACCTTCAACAAACAGTACAAATGTACGACTGGTAAAACTGCAAAAAAAAGCAAAAATTATATATATGTACTGGATGTTGGGTCATGTTAGGTCAGCACAGGCTCAGGTGTTCCCGGCTGCTGCCACTTACTTGGTTAAGTAATCTGTCTCTTCTTCAGCTTGCAATGTGTCACACAGGAAACAGCTGAGCTGCATTATAGAAAGTTTGCACCACTTATGCATCCTGCATGTGCAGAGGTCGAAAAATGCACAAGCTTCTGTTTTTTTTT